GAATCACATTTTGCATGTCCACTCGTTATTTGATGGACATTTGAATTGCTTTCACTTTGGAACTAGTGTGGCTAAAGTTGCTGTGAACATTAAGCATACAAGTGACTGTGTGGACATATGCTTTCATTTCTCTTGGGATGGCGTTTCTGGGCCACATTGTTAAGTTCATGTTTTCATCTGAAAGGAATCACCAAGTTTTTCCAAAGTGACTGAAGATTTTACATTAAGAAAGAAAAATGTCCTTAGCAGGACCTCTTTCCTAATTTTTCCTCAGTTTTAGATCTCTCATGTATTCCTCTGGAGTTACTTTGGGATCTCCTCCCCAGCCGTCTCCTGACCACCCCAGTGAGACTTACTGCTTGCTGACTGGCCAGCTTCCCACCTCCCCGGCTTTCCTCTCCCAGGCTCCCTTCACATCAGCGTGGGAGAATCAGTAGATTTCTCTTTCCTCTCTGCTGTGTTAGATCCTTTGTTTTCTGGCTTAGTGGTTTATTTATCTGTTTGGGTTATTCTCTCATTAAATAGAATACTGCCTCCAATAACTTTTGTAGAAAGGGGACATGGAATGTTTTTGATTACTTGTTTGCATGTCTGATAATATCTTTATTTTTACCCTCATAGTGGATTGATTTGGTGAGAGTAAAATTAAAAGCTAGAACAAATTTTCTTGCATAGTTTTGAAGATTGTGCTCTATTGTATAAACTTCCAATCTGCAAATGCTCTTGGAAGGTAACTTGTTTCTTCCTGAAAGTTTTGAGGCTTTTGGTACATTGTGGTCACTCAGCAGATTTTTTCATTTTAGAAACTCAGGATTTCGAGTTTAGAAAGGAATTACTAGATTTTTTTCCTCTTCCTTTTTGTCTGTTACCTATTTCTAAAACTTCTGTTTTTGGAAATTGAAGTGGTTGGACTGATCCTGAGTTTTTTCAGTCTCTGGGTTTTATTCTTTGTCTTTTTATTTTTTTTTTTTTAGGAAGTTTCTGTTTGTACCACATCTTTTAAAGAGTTTTCATTTTTCTATCTTTTTTTGCATTTAAAATTTTTTTTTAAGATTTATTTATTTATACAAGAACCGGGGTACAGGCCAGATGTGCGGGAGGGTGAGAGGATTCACCAGAGACAGAGCGGGAAACAGAACAGGCAGACTGAAGAAATACACTGCTGAGGGGAGCAGCGGCAGACAGGAGAGGTCTGCCGCGCCATGTGGGACCCTTGCCGGCCAGCTGGGAATGAACCGGTGCTGCTTTTTTTGCATTTTTTGGAGAGCTTTTTCTTGGTGTATGGTAGGGGATTAGTGTTGTCTGTCCCTTATTATTTTTTAATGTCTACAACATAATCTTTCACTTTGAGAAAGTTAGTGGCATGTTTTGGTTTTTAATTTGTCATCTCTCTGTGCTTTCCTTGGTGGGGCTTCCTCTGGTGGGGGTCTTTGCCTGTCTGCTGAGTTGAAGCTTTGTGCATGTGGGCTTCCTGAGGGTGAACTGGTTGGACTGTTTCATTGAGTATCTCCTCTTTTGGACCTTTTTCTTGAGCTGAGCAGATATTTCCATAGAAGAATGTTCCAATCTGCCTGGGGTTATGGGAATTTACTTGAGGAAGAGAAACTGGGGGTCTGCCCTCCACTTACTAAGTACAGAGTCCTCCCTTTTTACTGAACTTGTGTGCCCCAACTCAGAGACCTCCTTATGTTCTTGTTTGGGTGGGGGAAGAACAGGGCTGCTTATGCACACAAAGTGCAGGGAACAGGATCAGATCTTTAGAAAAGGCTCAAGAGAACCTATCGACAATTTATGTGAGAATTTGCTATTCAGTGAACTCTTGGTAACTTTTATCTGTATTCACCAACTGATAACATCTTGCCACAGTATTTTTTTTTCTATGTATGTTTTCTTTTGAATCCTTTTGAGAGTGTGTTATAAATATCATGGCATTTTATACCTAAATACATAAGCATCTATCTTCTAAGAACAAAAACAATTTGCTGCACAACCACAAAACAATTTTGACTTGCAAGAAACTTACTCCAATACTATTAAATGCAGCCCATTTGGAAATTTTTTAAATTCTCCCCAAAAAGGTCTTTAAGGTTTTTTCCCTTTAAATCCAGGATTCCAAGTTATGTTTTCTTGCTACCTTGCTTTGTTCCTTAATCAAAAAGAGCCCCATCCTTTTAAAACAATTATTGATCTTACATAACACTGACAGATTTGAAAAGTCTAAGCCAATTATTTTGTAGAATATCCTTCAGTTTTGTCTGTTTACTCATCATTAGATTCTAGCTTGGTAAAACTCTTTAGCAGGTCATGAAGTATCACATCAGGAAGCACAAGGTTAGTTTGTCCTATTATTGGTGACAAATTTGATCACTTAAAGTAGTATCTGCCAGATGCCATTAATAAAAACCCCCACCCCTTTTAAATTTTTTTCCCACTTTTTTTTTTTTAAATGAAAAGTAATCTAGGGGTAAGTAATCAGTAATGTGTAGTGTGGTATTCTGGGTGTTCTCCAAAATTATTACAACCAGCTGTTTTATGAAAAACAAACCTATGAGGTAAATTTCAGGATTTCTTTGTAGTTTTTTATGTTAGACGGTCACTGAGGGTGTGAGGATTCCTGCTCAGACCAGCCTGCTTCCGCCATATCTGCTGAGACCCAAGGCCACAACTTCAGTGTGTCATGGGATTGTCTGGTGGCTTCAGTTCCTGTCATGGATGGTATTGGAGGGCAAAACATTTGTGGACCCAGGAGCAACAGGAGGGAGGCAGGTTTTGAACTTGGAACTTACAGGACTTTATTTTGCAATTAATCTCTGTGATGTATTGTATGCTATCTGCATGGTATAAAATGGAAAAAAGTGGTAATGTTGGTATTTTAGATGCATAGTTCTTGAAAACTTGATAGAATTGTGACAAAGATGGCAGTCTGGGGCTCACCCAACTAGCAAACCTTTCATCTCAGTGAGATTTTCATTAAATGCAGCAACCCTGGTGCTAAATGGGAGAGAAAAGAGTCAATTAAAGAACATGAATCTAAATAAATAAATAACAAATATATGACAAATGGGAAATACTGTTAGGAATTTTATATTTTCTGGTTCTCTGAAGTGAGAAATCTGTTTGGTAAGCAAGTATTGCTTGACTTACTAACATTTGATTTTTTTAAAGATTTATTTATTTTTTATTTATACATACAAGAACTAGGATGTAGGCCAGAGGTGCAGGGGGTGAGAGGATTCACCAGAGACAGAGTGGGGAGCAGAACAGGCAGATCAACTGAAATATACTGCTGAGGGGAGCAGTGGGTGGGACAGGAGATGTCTGTCACACCATGTGGGTTAACTCTCTGGCTGGGGATTGAACTCATGCCAGTGGCTGGTGATAGCGCTGAGGAGGTCCTTTCCACCACGGAGGTCCAACATTTGATTTTTTGACCATGGTTCTAAACCTGTTTGGGTATAAAGTAGGAAAGTGTTGTGTGTTCTGACAACTTAAGGGTACTAAAGAGACTTGCGTCTTGCTGGCTTCTTCATTTGGAGAGGTTACAATCTCACCTGGACCCTAATGCCACATTTGGGCAAGTTTCAAATTTTTAGAGATGCAAGTTAGAATTACTTTTGCCCTTTATTTGCAAGTAATCCTCATTTCTAGACAGATGCTTTGGGGAAGCAAGCAGGCTATTGTCTTCCCTGACTCTGATGCTGGACTCCAGGCTCTTGCTCTCCAGCCAGTCCCTCAGCTCCCATTGTGAGGCCTGTGCTGGGGAGGCAGTGGACCTATAGGTGGCCAGGGCAGGAGGCAGCCACTTTAAGACAGGAACATACACACGTGTGTGCCCATGCATGCTCATGCGTGTGTCACACACACACACACACACACAGAGCCCTTGCTGCCTGCAGAGATCTGCAGTGATGGGTTTCATGTGTCGGTGAGGTGGGCGAGATGAGCTTCTATGGGTTTTGAGGAGGAGGGCCTACCTTTCTCCTCTAAAGCAAGTCTCTAACACTTCTGAACCTACATTTCCACCTGTAAGATGTTTCCCTTTTCCTTGTTTTTTCCAGTAGCAAGTCAACCATGTTGGGTCCCCCCTGCTTCATGTCTTCTCCTGTGGGCTTCCATTCTGACTTTGACTGCTGGGACTGTTCTGAAGTCTTGGTGAGAAAGTGTGAAGCGAGAAAAGCACCAAGAACAATCTGTGTGCAGGGAGCATTCTCCCAGATGTCAGGGATCGGTTTTGGGCTTGGATTACACGTTTGGACTCATCTCAGTCACAGCCAGTGGAATGGAAAAGGAAGGTCGAAGAGGGCTTGACCTCTCACTCAGTGGGGCCAGGGCCATCCTCTGTTTTGTTCACTGAATCTTCCGACCATGCTTAGGATAGTGCCCAGTGCACCGAGATTGAGAGGAAAGGGGAGAGATAAGGTTGCTTGGGGGTGTCTGCATCTTGAAATTGGTGCTCTGGGGCTAGCTACATTAGGTAGGCTCAGCTGTGAGAGCTGCACCTCTGCTGACTATTCCTAAGTGGGAAACACTGTGGGTTTCAGAAGGACATTTTTTATTGTCAGAGGTGGTCCTTAAGAGGTCTGTAAGTTTCTCATCTTAGCTCTGCCCCCTCCCCAGGGCACTCAGGATCAGACCCATCCTCTCAGTCAAGCCCTACCCCTTCTTGCTGACAAAGGCTTGTATCTATGCTGGTACATTTCCTTGGTAGAATGTAGTGGACTCTCAATGAATAATGAGTGATAGCTCTGGGCATTTGGATTGGAAGAGAAATGCAAAGAAATGATGGAAATGGGAATTATCCCCTGAACCACAGAGACGCCTGCTCAGCACAAAGAAGCTTCCTCTATCACCATCTGACTTATGATGACTTAACTGTTATTTCACCTATTACCCCCTTGTTTCTCCCCAGGCTGCAAGTGGCCTGACTTCCACAAATCATCAGCATCCAGGGTCGCTGGCATGAGCAGTGTTTACAGCCCCTTTCCCTTTTTTGCTTTCAGAAGTAACTGGAGAGACTCGTCCTTACCATGGGAAGGATGCTACGGATCCAAGGCAGAGACGGGCCCAGGGTGGCGACCCCATGCATTTCCACTCGGTGAATATGGCGCAGCCTGTCCGCTTTAGCAGTAAGTTGGAGACCTGCCCTGTTTATTAGTTAAGCTTCCCTAAGTCTCCTCCTGCTTCTGAGGGAGAGGTGTGTCTTCTAAAATAACCCTTCAGGGTGTCAAGCGGTATCATCCTTTTTTGATGAGTGAAGCTGCATGATGACCCCGCTTCTGAGTGGTGACACCATAACTTGAATTCAGGTTCAGGAACCAAGCTGCTTGTTTTCATAAATGATCACTTATGATCCCCTTAGGGGGATGATGGAGAAACAGGCTCCGAGAGATAGAGCTGTTAAGAGGGAGGTCTCTACTTACGCCTTTTTTTTTTTTTTTTTTTTTTTTTTTTTTTGGTGGGAACCTCACCAGTGGCCGGGGATCAAACTGGAGCTGCAGAGGCTGCGGGCAGCCTCGCAACCCAGGGCTCAACCACTGCGCCACCAGGGGAGGCCCTTATGCTTTTTTTTTTAAGATTTATTTATTTATGCATACAAGAGCTGGGGTGCAGGCCAGAGGTGTGGGGGTAGTGGTGAGAGGATTCACCAGAGACAGAGTGGGGAACAGAACAGGCAGATTGACTGAAATACACTGCTGAGGGGAGCAGCGGGCAAAATAGGAGAGGTCTGTTGCACCATGTGGGTAGCTCCCTGGCTGGGGCTCAAACTCGTGCTGCAGAGGTTGCGGACAGCTTCTTAGGTTGTGTCTTAACCCCTTGCACCACCAGGAAGGCCCTCTACCTCTGTTTTTAAACTCTGTTTTTAAAATTATTAAAGGAATAATTTTAAAGAATTATTCCTTTATTGTAAGATTTTTTTAAAAATTTATTTTATTTTGTGTGGAAGAACTGGGGTGTAGGCCAGAGGTATGGGGGGGTGAGAGGATTCACCAGAGACAAAATGGGGAGCAGAACAGGCAGATCTACTCTACAGAAATGCACTGCTAAGGGGAACAGCAGGCAAAACAAGAGAGGTCTGCTGCGCCATGTGGGTTAGCTCCCTGGCTGGGGATAGAACTCAGGTCATCATGGTGATAGGACTGAGACTTAATCCCTAGGCCACCAGGGAGGTCCCTGTTTTTGTTGTTGTTGTTGTTTGTTTGTTTTTAAAGATTTATTTATTTATGCATACAAGAGCTAGGGTGTAAGCCAGAGGTACTGGGGGCGGAGAGGATTCACCAGAGAGAGTGGGGAACAGAACAGGCAGACAGACTGAAAGACACTGCTGACAGGGAGCAGTGGGTGAGTCCGGAGAGGTCTGCTATGCCATGTGGGTTGCTCCCTGGCCGGGGATTGAACTTGTGCTGCAGTGGCTGCTGATAGCTTCATAGGTTGCATCTTAACGCCTTGCACCACCAGGGAGGCCTGGAGGTCTCTGTTTTTAAACTTTTTCTAAAGTGACTAAAGAATTCCCTGTGACGCTAAGATATTAAAGGAAAATAACTTTAAGAATTTAAAGGAGCATAACAAGATTAAGAAAATTTGAAAGGCAGAAAAAACACAGCTGAAATCCCCTCCTGACAGACATGCTGTGCATATTGATGGTCATTGGTCTGATGAGGAGGAACTGACAGGCAAGGCTTCTGCACCCAGGTTGCATTAACACTCACCCTATAGGTGCCCAGTACTGGGAAGCTCAACAAGGTCCCTCATGCCCTGTAGGGCCCCCACTGCTCCTCATAGCTTGACCCAGCATGGGGTCCAGGTTCCAGTGATGGGAACTGAGCCAGCAGAGTTCCTTGAAGCTGTGCTTAACTTTGAGATGGTTTGAGGAAATGATGAGCTTCTCGGGGATTCCCACAGTGGAGAGTGCCTAGTACAGGCCTGGCGAATGAGGAGCTAAAGCCCTGCAAAGTCACCCTTGGTCACACAGCAAACAGGGGACACTCTGGGACTTAGTACCCCAGGGTCCCCACTCTTCATCTCATTCATTCTCTTTTCATCACTTATCTACTTTTCTTTTGAACAGCACTCTGCTTAGGTAATAATTCTGCGGAGTTCAAAAGATTAAAAAAATGAGCCTATCAAAAGTAATGTTCCTTCCGCCATTGCCCGCAGTCACTGGCTTCCATCCCCAAAGGGTTTCCTCATAAGGACGGAAGCCCAGTCCTGCCACTTGCCAGGCAAGATGCTCAGCCTTTCCACTCATGGCTGTGGGCTCCCAGCCCAGTTCTCAAACATGGAGTCAAATCAACCCACCAAGTTGAATGCATCATGTAGGGGCTTAGGAAAAGCACAGTACAGGCTCCTGGTGATTCCCCCCACCCCACACCACGGCTGCACATGTAATGATAGCGTGCTACTGCACCTTCTCCCCCCTTCTTGGTGGTCTATGAGGACTGGTGCCTGGTCTTCAGTAAAGAGCCTTCTGACAGGCTTCCTCAAATTTCACCAGGCCCTTCCTTCCTGATGGACAGCTGGCACTGCCCTCGGCTTCATTACAACAGTGCCACGGCAGGCTCATTGGCTCAAGGGTCAGAGCTGCTATTTTCTCTTCTGTAATCTCTGTACCTTTGGTAATAAGTTATACACACATAATAAAATTAATTTTTATTAAGTAATAAAAGCACGAGCATCTGTCTTTAAGAAATATCCAGTTCCTGCATGGTATTGGAACAAGAACGGACATACAGACCAATGGAATCGAATAGAAAATCCAGAAATAAACCCACAGATTTATCATCAACTAATCTTTGACAAAGGAGCAAAGACTATGCATTGGAGCAAAGAAAGTTTGTTCAATAAATGGTGCTGGGAAAACTGGGTTGCTACATGCAATAGAATGAAACTTGACTACTACCTCACACCATACACAAAAATCAACTCAAAATGGATTAAAGAACTAGACATAAGACCTGAAACCATAAAATATACAGAAGGAAATATAGGCGAAACACTACATGACATGCACATCAAAGACATCTTTACAGACACATCACCCAAAGCAGTGATAGTGAAGGCAAAGATCAACAGCTGGGACTACATCAAATTAAAGAGCTTCTGCACAGCAAAAGAGACAATAACAAAAACAGAGAGAAACCCCACCAACTGGGAGAACATTTTTGCACCCAACACTAATGATAAAGGACTGATCACAAAAATCTGCAAAGAGCTGATGAGACTCAACAACAACAAAGAAAATAATCCAGTCAAAAAGTGGGCAGAAGAGCTAAAAAGAAACTTCTCTGAAGAGGAAATGCAAATGGCCAACAGGCATATGAAAAAATGTTCAACATCACTTGTAATCAGGGAAATGCAAATTAAAACTGTCATGAGATACCATCTTACACCAGTGAGAATGGCACATATTAAAAAAACTAGCAACAACAAATGTTGGCGAGGGTGTGGAGAAAAAGGAACTCTTCTGCACTGCTGGTGGGAGTGCAAACTGGTCCAACCACTATGGAGAGCTGTGTGGAGATTTCTGGACCTACTAAACATAGAGCTTCCACAGGATCCAGCAATTCCACTCCTAGGTATTTACCCAAAGGACACAGAAACATCAATTCCAAAGAGCACCTGCACCCATATGTTTATAGCAGCACTGTTTACAATAGCTAAGCTTTGGAAACAGCCCAAATGCCCAAAAATAGATGACTGGATCAAGAAGATGTGGTACATATACACAATGGAATATTACTCAGCATTCAAAAAAAGATAAACACATGCAATTTGCAGCAACATGGATGGCGCTGGAAGGGATCATGCTCAGCGAAATAAGCCAGAAAGAAAAAGAAAAATACCGGATGGTCTCACTCATAGCAGGAATCTAGAAAACTTAAATAAGGGACCAGGAAAATGAATAACTATAAGAAAGTGAAAATCAAAATCAACAAAAAACTATGAACCAGAGACATTTTTTGGGGGGTGGGGGGCGGGAGGGGAGGGATTGGGGTCAGAATGGGGTTGCAATTGTATGGGGAATATAAAAATAAAATTTATTATTTAAAAAAAAAAAAAGGAAAACTGAAAAAAAAAAAAAGAAATATCCAGTTCCACTGGATATAGATGCATGTAACAATAGCATTTTTAAAAATAACTGGCTTTATTAAGAAATTATCACTTCATCAGTGTACCCTTAGGAAGTAGGGACCCCAGCACTTGCAGGTCATAGACCCTGTAGAACAGGTCATTGCTTTTACCCAAGGCTTTCGTATAGTGTGGGGGCCTTGGTGACCTGAGGGGCCAGTCAGCCTTGAGAGGGTACTTTTGACCCATTCTGGCTAAGGGAGACACTGACTCCAACTGGCTATTTGGTTTTTGCTTTCTGGGGAACCAGTTGGGCCTCATTTTCTCATCTGTGGGAGCCAGGGGTTAGTCCTGCAATGTCAGTGGTCCTTCCAATTCTGACCTGGGCTTTTGTTGCAGGGGAGCACTAGCCAAACTGAGGTGAACAAAAATGAAGGGACAAGGAGTAGACTGGGGAAGCTGAAAACTTACTAGTGGAATGACCTGAGAGCCAGGTCTCGCTCATTGAAGACAGTACAGGTCGGGGAAACCTCCCTGCTTATGCACACTGGGTGTGCAGTGAGCCTGCTTGGGGGCCGTGCCCTTTTGTCAACCAGACTTATGTGGAAAATGAAATTTACTTTACAGAAGTGAATGTGGTAGCCAGTCTTTACTGCCAAATCAATTAAGACTTTGTAGAAATAAGCGGAATTCCTGGTATCTGTGTACCTTAGGTTGTATTTATGTGGTAGGGACACTTGAGCGTTTCACAAAGTTGTCTTAGAAGCAAGATTTTCCCCGTGAATCTCACTTTCTGCATTTCTCTAGGGTGATTTGTCAGCTCTGCTGTCTGATGCAGCAGACATCATTTCGTTTTGGAGTGAGGATCCTAATTTGGGGGACAACTCCCCTTCTGTCCTTCATGTTTCCTAGGGAAGTGCCCGACAGGGTGGCACCACTATGAGGGCACCGCCAGCTGCTACCGGGTCTACCTGAGCGGAGAGAATTTCTGGGACGCCGCGCAGACTTGCCAGCGTGTGAATGGCTCCCTCGCCACCTTTTCCACTGACCAGGAGCTGCGTTTTGTCCTGGCGCAGGAATGGGACCAACCAGAGCTGAGCTTCACTTGGCAGGACCAACACAAGTGAGTCCTGGGGTGGGGCTCCAGTGCTTGGTTTTGGGGCCCATGGCCTCTGCCAAATGCAGCCAGCACTTGGGGAGAGAGCAGCTCTACCCCTGTGGCAAATATAGTCATGAGTCACTTAACAGTATTTCGGTCCATAGCGGACTCTACACAACAGTGGTCCCAGTAGCTGCACCTCATAAAGCCTGGGTCTGTAGTAGGCTGTGCCGTCTGGGTTTGTGTACTTCACTCCATGATGGTCACGTGACAAGAAAATCACCCCATGATACATTTCTCAGAACATATCCCCAACTTGAAGTGATGCATGAGATTTGGGGTTTAGAGTGGGCATTGAGATGGAATTGGGGGCTCTTAGAGGGTCAGAGATAGGCCTGGGGATTGGTTTTCCTCTCTGGGCTCAGGTGCAATTATAGGGTACTGGATCTGTGTCAGGAAGTCTCCTTGGTAGCAGATTTCATGGGCTGATGAGAGGGACTCACCAGTGGGTAGAGGTTCCTACTGAGAGAGTGGACTTTGCCAGGCTTTCCATGAGCAAGAATGTAACTTTGGGCTCACACTAGCCGGGCCCTGGTTCTATTCCAGGCCTTTACCCCAAGCTCAGCAGCATTGAGAAGAAATTGTGGAAACTACAACACTTCCCAGGCCCATCATTTTGGGGGTATGTGTGTGCTAAGACCTGTGGTGTGCTGCCCCATACACACTGCCAGGAGTGAGGGGTGTGGATCATAGAGTTCACCAGCCACCCAGTGCTCCCTCCCAGCAATTGTGCAGCCTGCCTCACTGCCATGGGAGTGTAGTGACCTGTAGCAGGTAAAGACAGAGCAGAGTCCTCATTTCAAGACCTGAGCTGCAGTTTGTGCCACAGATATAGCTCATGACATCAGCTAATTGTGAGACTGTACTATTTCTCCTTCTGAAGCTACAAAGTGAGAAAAAGGACTCCTAGCTGACAAGGTTGTTGTGAATCCATGGAGAAGGGAGAGGGCACAGACCAGCAGTTGGGGAAGCACCCCTTTCCTCCAGGTAGGAGAAGGCATGGCAGTAGGCTGAAGGGGCAGAATGGCACTGCACCAGGGCACCTGTAATGACTATGGCCCTGCTGCCTGACAGCTCCGAGGCTGGGCTGGTAAGCTGGGGTGAAGGACACACTCAGCCTTTGGTTGTGGCAGTCAGCCAGATCTGTGTGTCTGGCCCCCCAGTGCTACAGTGTGTGCAGTCAGGCGTACACTGTGGGCCTGGGGCAGCTGGCTCTGAGCCAGACACCCTGCAGGAGGCTGTGCAGTATTAGCCAGCACTGCTGTTAAACACACGCAGAGTCCATGGCTGCTGCCATGCTAAGGCCTTTTCTGTTTCTGCCCTTTTTCAGGTTGTGGGTTGGCTATCAGTATGTTGTCACTGGCCGAAACCACTCCTTAGAAGGTCACTGGGAGGTAGCATTCAAAGGTAAGCCTTTCTGATCTCTCAGAGGAGTCACTGAATATGAAATTGGGAGGACATCATAGGGGGGCTCCCCTCCTCCCTCCTGCCCTCTCACTACTGGTGCCTGACTCGTAGGGGTGCCTGGTAGAGGAGACATGGAAAGGACGGCCCCAGATGGAGGGGAGGCTCTAATGATGGGCAGGCAGCTTGGGGCCAGCCCCCTGCTCAGGCCCCACCTGCAGACCTAGTGTGGAGTTGGGGTCCCCTCTGAAACCCAAGGTCATTTTTCACATGGCCATATTTCTAGACTGTCCATATTACCTTTAGAGTTAAAACTTTAACTGGGCCTTAAAAATGAACATACAAAGTGTGCAGCTGACATGGCCAGAGAGGGAAGGACAAGCTTTCTAAGACAGAGAAGTTCAGAATTAGAATTCAGAACTTGAACAAAAGCAGTCAGGTAGAGGAATTAAAATAGATTTTGTGAGTATTTGTATGTGTATTTGTGTTGTTCAAAGAAACGTAAAGGAAAGGTGACTGTTGTGAGTAGCTGAGCCCCTGCCCCTAGTCCCTCCCCTCATTTCCTGTTGCCTTGACCCCAGGGGTATCACTGGGCCCTGCTCCACCCTCTTGCTTTCCACCTGAGCCACACTCTCCAGGGGAGTTAAATTGAACATGGATTTGTAACAGGTGCTGACTCATTGATTTTCTTAGGTGTAAAAATACTACTGTTCCTGTGTGATTTCAGGACACCCAAACCACCTGTGTGTAGGGTCAGCTGCATCAGTCTGGAATTTGGGGGAAGGGTAGGAACCAAACAGCAGGATGGAGGACAGTGGGAAATGTGGGATTCATGATTTTCTTCCAGACTTTTCAATATATATATGAAATTTTCCATACCAAAAACATTTAAAAATTTTTGCTAAGAAACAGCAGAGTGGAGCCTCCCTGGTGGCACACGGGGTTAAGACACAACCTATGAAGCCGTCTGCAGCCACTGCAGCCCGAGTTCGATCCCCGGCCAAGAAGGTGACCCACATGGTGCAGCAGACCTCTCCTGTCTGGCCTGGTGCTCCCCTCAGCAGTGTATTTCAGTCAGTCTGCCTGTTCTGCTCCCTACTCTGTCTCTGGTGAATCCTCTCACCCTCCACACTTCTGGCCTGTACCCCAGTTCTTGTCTGTATAAATAAATAAATCTTTAAAAAAAAAAAAAGAAACTACAGAGTGAAAAGAATACTAAAAACACAACACTGGCAAATAAGAGAATGGCAGGGCCCTCCCTTCCCTGCTCCCAGGAACAGCTACTGACCAGGTCCCACATGCTGCAAAACTTGGGCCTGAGAGGCTGGCCTAGATAACACATCACAAAGATGATCTGAAGTGGATTTGAAATGTTTGTCATTGTTGACAAACCCTTTCCATGTATTGTGTGTGGGCATGATTGTATGTTACATGTATGTATAGACTTACTGTACATGTATACAGGTACTCCCCATGTGCATTTTAAGTTCGGGACTCTACTCAGGGATGGGCTTCTGAGGGTTTCTGGTCATGCACCCTGGCCTGTCCCCCAAGAGAGGAGTTCTGCCTCTGGGATCCTGTCTACACAGCTTGTCAGCCGCCCCAGGGTACTGAGACCCTGAGCCTTGGTAACACCTACTCCTAGTGTGCCCCAGATGGGGGGAGCTGCCGTCCCAGAGAGCCTTTTATAACATTTGTGCCCAAAGTTTGAAAATCACCGTGTTTCCCCACATGCTATACACCATCTCCCCCCATCACAATCTTTACTGCAAACAGTGTCACTTCAGTCTCTGGTTATTCACACTTGATATTTATTTTAAAATACGAACGTGAGCGCATACCATGCGTTTAACATGTCCACGTGTTGTATAGTTTGCTTATTAAAGATTTGTTCGTTACTGTGCCCCCAGTTGTTCCCCCTGTGTCTCAGTGTCTACACCGCTAGGGGCTCACTCCTGACAGTGGGTCAAGACCAGGTGTGCCACTTTGGAGGCCCTTCATGGTCTCTGTCTTCTTGACCCTTGTGTCCTCACCATGTTGTGTCTCATGCCTGTGGGACCTGCTGGTGGGACCTTGGATCTAGAAGCATCTGTCAGCAGTAGGGAGAGTTGATAGGGAGAGGGCTAGGACCCAGGCTGGCCTAGACGGTGCAGTGCAGAGACTGCCCTCTGAGTGAGGGCACTATTAGGTGGGGTGGGGTTAGCCGAGGTCAGGATGCAGCTTCGCCAAAGGACACAATGCTGAGAGAATGGTAGCTGCCTTTAGTAATGGCATATGTGGGAGCATCCACACAGCTCCTGATGGGCCCAGCACAGACTTCTTTTATGGGTGCTGTGATAACTAGATGACAAAGTGAGGCCCTGCCTTGAGAGGTTCACAGCCTGCGAGTGCAGGCAGACGGCACACTGGTCGGAAGAGTGAGGGTCACCCTGCCATGGGGATGAGGGAGCAGGCACAACACAGAGGTGGGAGTAGCTGCCCAAGAGGTATGCAGGAGGAGACAGGATGGCAGGAGAGATGAGGTGGCACTGCTGAGCTAAGAGCAGCTTGTGTGTAGAAGGAATGGGCAGGGCATCTCGAAACTTTTGCCGCCCATCTCTAGCTGAAGGTCTGCTGCACTGGGTGGGCAGGGAAAGGGCTGCAAGTAGGGGTCTGCGGTACCATGGCACAACGCCTGTGTGGCTGCTGGTTTCCGGTTAGAATACCCATTTGTGTGCCGTTCTGTGAACACCGGTCCTTCTGGCAGAGCAAGTGTCAAGGGTGAAGGTTTTTCAAGAAGCCGTGGTGGCTTGGAGAGGAACTTTTGGATCCCAGCCCTAAAGGTCTTTCCTGACTCCTCACATACCCTTTCAAACACATTTCCAGGTCATAGCCATGGGACCTGACATTCCTCACCTAACTTCTGGTCACCCTTACCTGGTTTCATTGCACAATTCCACTCCCCCCACCCCTGAAGTCTCCTCTCACAGCAGCCTGAGGGGCCTGCGATCTTACGCTCTCCACCATTTGTGGCTCTCAGTTCTTGCACAGAGCCACAGTCTTCGCTGAGGCCGGCAGCACCTTGTGCCTCTCCTCACCTCCCACCACCCCTCTGCCTTCACCTTCTTGCTCCACACAGGCTCCTAGCTCTCCTGCATGCCACCTCTGCTTCTACTGTCGCCCTCCCTGGCACGCTTCTTCCACAGATTGAGGGCAAGGTAGGACAAGATAGCATAGCCAGCCTGGACCATAATGACAGCGGGATTTACAGTGAATGCCAGTTTCCCTTGGTAAGTCTGGAAATGGACAGGCATGAGTCATTATCTAGACTGCCTTGGGCAGAAATGCCCGACGTGTGATGTAGCTCACTGCTGGCAAAAGGCCTGCTTCATGGGCCCCTTCTGCAGGGAGGGAGAGTGCTTGGGAAGCCTGAATTTCTCCCTTCCTCTTGCTGCTGGTGTATTGTGCTGCTGCATCATAGTAATAAATCTGAGCTATGATTTACAGCTCCCATGGCACCACCCTGAGACCTGCTGCCCTCACCTCCAAGCCCAAGCTTTGCTTTTTTTCTGTAGCAATGATGGCCTTCCAGCATCACATATACTTCACTTACTAGGTCTGGTATTTGTCATCTGTCTCCATTCTTTCCACCCCTCACTCAGATGTAAGCTCCACAGATAAGGGTCTTTCCTTATTGATGTGCCCCGTGTACCCCAAATGCCTGCTTGTGTGAGTGAGGCCTGCTAATATTTGTTAAATCAGCAAGGGAGAGTGATTAGGAGACTGTGTTAGCGCACTGGGGTTGCCCTCATGGAGTGCCCAACAGAGTACCACAAACTCAGTGGCTTAAAACAACACAAATATACTGTCAGTTCAGTCAAGGTGTCAGGGTGGAGGGTGGGGGGGGAGGGACACATTCCCTCCAATTCATGTTGTTGCTCTGCTTTTTAACATCGCCAACTAAGCACTGCCCTCTCCTGGCTCTGCCTGGTCAGCAGACTCACCACCCCCCCCAAAGCCTTAGAAGAGATAAGCACATTTTCAGTTTTCACCCACCCTTTCTTTTTGATCTCCTAGCCTATATAATCAATACTGTATGATTATTCTGTCAATAAAAAGCCAGGATCTTGCTCTTTCGGCAGCATCCCACACTGCTCAGTTGCCCCATGACTCCTGTTTGTCAGTGAGTATTGTCAACACAACAGCACAGAGCAGAAAGTAAGCAGAGGTGGCTCCTTTCACCTGCTCAAGGGAACACCTGGGCCTCCTCACTTGGCGCTGCTGGTCAAAAGCCCTGTTTACTCCAAGGTTGGAAGGGCTGAAGTTTCCTGAAACCAATGACTGTGAAGGCCATTTTCTCTTTGCCAAACTAGACCTTTTCATCCTCATTTTATTTGGCCTCCCTTATGACATTCATATTCCATTTTCTTAAAGATTTCCTCATCCTTCTCTGCCAGCATCCGACAAAGGTGGTTAATTCCCAATTAAAAATTCCCACAAAAAAGGTGGTTTTCTTCAACTAGCAGCTTCAGGGGGTTGAGCAGCATTCCCCCAAGTTCATGTCCACTTGGAACCTCAAAGTATGAACTCACTTGTGTCTTATGATAAAGTCATCCCGAGTATCCCTCTAAGAGGGGAAGAGGACACATCAAGACACGCAGAGATGGGAGTGATGCTGCCACAAGCCAAGGAAGTGTAGGACCATTAAAAGCTGGGGCAAGAAGGATTCTCTCCTAGAGAGAATTGGAGGGAATGTGTCCCCCCCCCCACCCCGACACCTTGACTGAACTGACAGTAAATTTGTGTTGTTTTAAGCCACTGAGTTTGTGGTACTCTGTTAGGCACTCCATGAGGGCAGCCCCAGGGTTCTAACACAGTCTCCTAACCACTCTCCCTTGCTGATTTAACAAATATTAGCAGGCCTCACTCACACAAGCAGGCATTTGGGGTACACAGGGCACATCAATAAGACCCTTATCTGGAGCTCTCTGGCTCTTTAGAAACTGGGTCCTGTCAGGCTGTGCTGTGCTCAGTGGGGCCAGATGGGGTTACAAGCGAATGGATGCTGTCGCCTCAGTAACTGCTGACACTCATTGGACCACACGTTCTTTGATGGGTCGTCTAGGTTAGAGTGAGTTGGTCCCTGTGAGGACTGCACTTGATTGCTGTGTGGACACTATGTTATAATGGCCATCTCCCTTCTCTCCCACCACCACAGGTTCTTCAGAGGTGTTCCTGCCCCCAGACCCCATCTTTGCCTCGGCCATGTCTGAAAGCGACAGCATGTTCTGTGCCCAGCTGCAGTGCTTTCACTTCCCCACTCTCCGCCACCATGACCTGCACAGCTGGCATGCCGAGAACTGCTACAAGAAGTCTTCATTTCTGTGTAAAAGAAGTAAGACACCTTTAGTGCACTGCCTCTAGTAAGCTGTGAGGAGGGGGCCACTCAAGAGAAGGTGGTTTTCTCAATTCTGGACCTTCCTGGAGACCTGGAGTGGACCTTGACCTCACGATGCTCAGCAGCGGGGCCCGCTTGATGGTGGTGTGGCAGTGCCCTGGTGGGCTAACACCTGCTCTGGGAGTGCAGGTGCCTTGGGGGTGAGGGCAGAGCCTGGGCCAGGACCCAAGGTGAGGATGAGTCTGCTGAGCTGCCCTTCAGCTCTGTGACCTGGCAGCAATGGACATTTCTCTTTCCCAGGGTAGAGGCAGTACATCTAGCTCTCCCCTCAGTGTGGGTAGTAACTTGAGAGTCGTGACTGAGGATTTCTAAACCATGAGATGTATTTGGAATTTCTGACTCCTTTGGTCACCTCCCCTGCTCTCTGCTGCTCCCCCTCCCACTCCTGGTTTGACTTCTTTGCCCCATCAAAACTGTTCTCCCTCCTCAGTGTATGGTGTCACAGCCTTTCCCTATCCCTCTGCCAGCTCCCTCCCATGACCCAGTCCTCTCTGCAGTGGGATGGAGAGTGTTAACTCCCCAGGAGACACACTGTGTGGTACAAGGCAGGGAAGGTGGCCACAGATCTCAGCATCCTCTGTTTGGAGCAGCTTTCCCTTCCCTGTGGGTTTTTCATGGGTCAATGCTTTTCATAGATACCTGGGCTGAAGCTGGTAGATTAATGTGCATTTAAAAAGAGAAATAAGACAAATTCTTTATGCATTTTGCCTAGTTTCCCAAAACAAACATTTTCAACACTATAGCATAATACCACATCAGGGTTTTGACTTGGACCAGGTCCACTGATCTCATTCTGGTGTGTGCAGTTTTACTTGCACTCATTTGTGCATGTGTGAATTCTATAATATTGTATCACCCACTCAGGTTCCAGTATCCACCAGTAGTCAAGAAAAGAGAATTCCAGCATCAGAGAGATACTGCCTACTGCTATACGCACACCTGCCTCCTACCCTTGTCCCATCAGAAACCTCTTGCAACCTCTAACATTTCTGAAATATTTTCATTTCAATAGTGTTACATAAATTGAACTGTGGCCTATGTAACCATTCAGGATTGGCTTTTTTTACTCAGTATAATTCCCTGGAGAGTCATCCTAATTCTTAGTATGTCAATGGTTATTCCTTTTTATTGCTGAGTAAAATTTCACAGTATTGTTTCAGTTCATTTAACCATTCACCCGTTGAAGGACATCTGGGCAGATGTCCAGTTTTTTGGCTATTCCAGTTAAAGTTGCTGAGAACATTGTGTAGAGATCTTTGTGTGAACATAAGTTTTCTTTTGTCTAGTATAAATGCCCGGGAGTGGCATTGCTAGGTCATGTGATAGTTACTTATTTGGGTTTTTTTTAGAAATTAGGAAGCTTTTTCTGCGTATGTACCACTTTACATTCCCACCAGCAGTATTTGAGCAATCCATTTTCTCTGCATCCTTGTCAGTGCGTACTGTCCTCATTATTTGTGCTTTTTAGCCACTCTGACAGGTAGCTAGCACTGTCTCTTTATTTTAACTTGCATTTTCCTGACAACAATGATATGAAACAACCTGTTATGTGCTTGTCCTTTTTTGTCATCTTTGGTGAAATGTGTTCAAGGCATTTGTCCATTTTCTCACTGGGTTATTGATTTTTTTAACTGTTGACTTTTAAGAGTTCTTTATGTACCCTATATCTTAGTCATTTTTCAGATGTGTTGTTGGCAAATATTTTTCTAATCTATAACTTATGTTCTTCACATGGACTATGATGAATTGACATTATAAATTCTTATGAAGTCCAATTTATCAGTTTTTTCTTTTAAGGATCGTTCTTTTGATATCAAGTCTCTAAAGAGACTTATATTTTAAAGAGTTTCTAGAAGTTACAGTTGCATATTAAAGTCCATTTCCATTTTGAGTTAAATTTTTTTTATAAGGAGTGAGATTTAGGTTAAGTTGCGTTGTTCTTGCCTATGGGTGTCCAGTTGGTCTAGCACCATTTGTTGATAAGTTGTCTTCTCTACATTGAATTACTTCTGTTTCTTTGTCACAGTTTAGTTGAGCTCTGTGAGTTATGTATGGATTTAATTCTTGGTTCTCTATCTATTCCAATGATTTATATGTCTAATCCTCTGCCAATACCAAAACTGTCTTGATTACGGTAGCTAATCAGGTCATGACTCCCAGTTTATTCATGTCAGCATTGTTTTATCTGTTTTAGGATCTATCCTTTTCCTATATAGATTTTAGAATAAACTTATCTGTCTACAAAAACCTTAATGGGATTTAGCTAAGAATTGTATTAAGCTACTAAATCAATATGGGGAGATTTACATCTTAAATCTTCCAATCCATGAGTTTGGTATGCCTATCCATTTACTTATTCTTTTTTTATTCACCAGCATTTTGTAATATTTTAGCAAGAAAATCTTATACTTGCTTAAGTGTATAACTTATTTTCTTTGGTGCAATAATAAATTATATTTAAAATTTTGACTTACATGTTTATTGTTAGTGATTTTTGTTTTGTATGTTAATTTGTCAATATGAAGAAATGTGATTTGTTCTTTGTGTGTTACATGTATCCTGTGACCTTACCGAATTCACTAGTTTAGGAGGTTTTCTAGTAGAATTCTTTGGATTTTCTAATAGACCATCATGTCATCTACAAATAGAGACTATCTTATTTCTCGCTTTAAAATCTGTATCTTTTATTTATCTTGCCTTACTATAATGGCAAGAATTTGCAGCACTGTAATAAATGAGAATGGTAAGAGCAGAAATCCTATCCTTGCTTTGTCCTCATTCTTATGGACAGGATAGTCATTTCTTTTTTTCATTAAGTATAATGTTAGCTGTAGATTTGGGGGTAGATGTTCTTTATCAAGGTGAAGTAATTCCCCTTTTAACTTGCCAAGACTTTTATCATAAATGAGTATTGATTTTGTCAAAAAAACACTTTTCCCCATCATTTGATAGGAAAAAGTGAGGAGAGTCAGGGCTCCTTGTTGGTAACACATACCTGTGTGCATGTGTCCATGTTGCAGGTCAAACATGTGTGGACATCAAGGACAATGTGGTGGATGAAGGGTTCTACTTCACCCCTAAGGGAGATGACCCGTGCCTGAGCTGTACCTGCCATGGAGGGGAGCCTGAGATGTGTGTGGCTGCCCTCTGCGAGCGACCCCAAGGATGTCAGCAATACCGCAAGGACCCCAAGGAATGCTGCAAGTTCATGTGCCTGGACCCAGGTGAGACTGACAGTGGGTCACAAGTCATCCTTCTCCATTCAGGATGGAACCTTGACCTCTCTTGGCTTCCCCAGTGGCCCATCCCACCTAGGTGAGAGCATGTGGAAATATATGACATGTAATAGTACAAGTTCTCTTCCTTCATACTGGGTCATGTGAGAATTATGTGTCCCACCCTCAGCAGCTCTCTAGCAAGCTCCTAATCAAGCCCTGGTGTGTGCTAGAGAAGGCCTAGGAACACATGGGCACTTTTGACTTCTGGGGCCAGACACTGATGAGCACAACAGGAGGTTGTGTGGCATTTCTGGCCTCTGCCTACTAGCTATCAGTTGCACTTCCATCCCCTAAGGGGGGCGGGGGGACACAACCAAAAGTGTCTCTAGACTTGCTAAATGTTCTGGGAAATATAGGACATGAGCAACGATACAGAGTTGCCCAGAGAACCCTTGGGCTACTTTTCTAGGAATTAGGTGACAGTGCCTGATTCTATACTGTAACAGTGTGGTTGGGGGTACAGGTGCACATTTAGGGTACCCTCTAATGAGACCCCTACTGAACTTAGGTGGAAGGGATGCAGGAATACAGAATTTGGAGGTTGAAGCCCACGCCCACCACCGTGTTTCCACCTGGGCCAGGGCCCTACTTCCTCGGCACTGATCTGTCTAGGTGCAGCCTTTGCGGAAGCTGCCTCACCACAGCAGGGCCTCCACCTCAGAGCTGACCGACTGCAGGGAAATAGCCTGCCCATCCTCACTCTGACAGGGACCATGATCCAGGGTGGAGAGGAGCAGGGCAAGTGAGTCAGCAGCTCCTCAGGCCCTGTGTGAGGACTTTCTCCACATGTGTCCTCCCCCCATGCTGAGAGATTGTGGGTACCACAATAATGCACATGCAGTACTTTCCAGGGCTCCCCACCAATGGTAGGAGGTCAAGAATTAGAACAGCCACTGATTAAAAGCCTGAGAGAAGAATAGGAGGGCTCTGAGGGGGCCAGCAGAGGGCTCATCCTTACCGTCCTCCGATTACCTACTGAACTACAGGTAACCCTGACTGACCTCCATATGCGAGCAATGCTGGATGTTGGGCACCACCCCAATGGTACTGGAGCTTAGGTCTGAATTCAGGCCAGTTACACAGCCTCCTGAGCTTTAATTCTTCTCCTGGTAGGGGGTCGGTGATAAATCAGAGAGTTACCAGTTGCTGGGGCTGGATGCCTGATCCTGTTCGGTGCCTCCTGTCAGGTCCCTGTTCTGGCTTTTTACAACTCATACCCCGGCAATAGGGACAGTGGAAAGATGCAGCCCCTTAAGGGAAGGACTGAAGGAGACATATGCCCCATGCACCAGCAAAGAGGACATTTCCATCACTCCTCCCACACTCACCAGCAGAGGTCAGGCTGTGGCATCTTGGGGTGCCTGTGGGGCCCAACACTGGGTGCTGTGTAGCAAAGGTCAGCACTCATGTCTGGAGAACTCCTTTCACATGGGTGCTAGGGGTTGGTGTCAGGTGGTGGGGGGTGGGTGTACTTCCTTGGCTCAGGAAATCTCAGGACTCCTTCACAGCCTCGGTGAAGTCTCATTTGCAAAAAAAGGTCTGAGTGACTATCCTTTCTCAGCCACTCCCTAACCCTTTATTCAACAGCCCAGCAAGTCTTAACTCCCTTACGCAGTCCATCAGCGAAGCATGTAAATCCAAATCCAAATGGCTCCCCAGCTTTCACCTCCCTCATCTGTCATCATCCCCAGTTCAGGCCACTGTCATTTACTCCCCTAGGTGGTGCAGATGCCTCTTTACTGGCTTCCCTGACCCTTTCATGATTCCTGCCACACATACTGCCTGAGCCAGGGCCCCTCAGGTGGCATCACACTCCACTCCAAACCCTCTCTGCCCTTCCCCTGCCCCTACGCTCCCTGTGCCCACCATTGAACTGGACACTCAACCCCCACCTTTGATCCTGTGCCCTTCTCCCTGTGTTTAGGAGCCCTTCATGGGACTTAGAATTACTTACAGTGTTGTTTCTCACTCACATATGTGGAGGCTTTTTGTCCTCAACTCATCTCCAGCATGCTCAGATTCACCCTGTAGAATAGGGAAGGTGCGTGTTTGTGGGGAGAAGGGTGTGTGGTCTCTACAGTTCCCGCACCCCCCCTCCCCGAGCCTGCAAAGCATTGCTCTCACTGTCTTAGCGACATCAGTCGTGGACAGAGGATGGCTTTCTCGCCCGCTGATAGTTACAGGCATTTGCACGTGGCATTCCGCCTAGGCCTGGAGCTTGTCAAAGGAAGTGCTGAGTTACCCAGTCCAGAGAGCTGGGGGGAGGGCCCCTGTGCACCCTGGAGCAGGGGGCCGTCACAGGGGATCATTTCTTCTGACCCTTGTTAGGCTTTTCTCCTTTTCTCCATAGCATTCTTGATTTTGAGCTCTTTTATTTCTGCCACTATTCTAAGACATTGTTCGGTGTAAGAACTCAGGAAACAAATGTGCCTTGTCCATGTGTCTGGCCTAGTGGTGGAGGGTCATGGTGGTCTTGCAGTGCTAAGCACCTGGGGATCAGGATCTTTTCCAAGAATGGCAGGTCTCCTTCCTCTCCTTGTGACAGATGGCAACAGCCTGTTTGACTCCATGGCCAGTGGGATGCGTCTGATCGTTAGCTGCATCTCCTCTTTCCTCATCCTGTCACTGCTCCTTTTCATGGTCCACCGGCTGCGCCAGAGGCGCCGGGAACGCATCGAGTCCCTGATCGGGGCAAACTGTGAGTGCCTACCCTCAAACTGGAGGCCCCACCCCAGGCTGTCACCCTTCAGGTGGGAGCAGGAGCAGGGTAGGGAAGAAATAAGACATTGACAAAACATGCCTTGGCATTCCACCCCACTTGGTCATCTGCTTCTGGGCTGAGCACGCACCTGGATCACTGGAGCAGCCAGGAATGAGACACCACGGGCATGTGGAGCAAGGGGTGTAGCCACTGTGCCAGCTCCCTGGGCGCTTCACCCTTGCCCCAAGCAGGAATTGCAACCACATGCGTTCAGTCAGTGATGTTATCCTTTCCTATGGCTTGGACCTGAGTGTAGGCCTCCAGCCAGGAGATAACTTGCCAGAGAAGTGTGGACACCTGTAGTTGGGTTAGACCACTTAGAGCGTGTGTCTCACCCACCCCAGCTGAGTTCTTTCACAGTGGGCCAGGTCCTCCAGAAGCCTCTCTGCAGTGGCCCATGTCCCTGATGGAGCTTCTGAAGTTACTCCTGTCTTCGTGAGCAGGCCAGGGATCCCCTGCTCAGTCCCATGTGGTTAGGGCTGGGGCAAGTGCACACCAGTGGAGAGGATTCAGAATCAAGGTGGCAAAAATGCTGGGGGACTGCATCTGCTGCTATGGGGACCGTAGGTGCTTCCCAGGGGGCCTGGTTAGGTGAAAGCCCCACATTATTGCAGTCCTGTTCTCATCTGGGCCAGCAAGATTCCCCCTGAGACCCTCAGTTCTCCTCAGTCTGTCAGCTAGGCAAGCCCCAATGCTGTTATGGGTTAAAGAAACGCATAGTTGGAGACTTGAGCAGAAGTAGCAGGATTTCATGACAGGTTACATGTGGGTGAGGGCTAGCAATGCCCTGAAAGTGGGGACCTGGGTAGGAGACAGAACTCTTGAGTAGATAGGTGGGCACAGGACTGACACACGGAATGACTAGCACCCTTGGCCTGGGGTGGTTGGTCCAGCTTTGGAAGAGGGGAGGGTTCTGGCTCAAGAGCTATGCTGCCTTCTTTGAGTGACATGGCTCTGTTGCTTCTCTCTTTCAATTGCCCAGTGCACCACTTCAACCTGGGCCGGAGGATTCCTGGCTTTGATTACGGTCCAGATGGGTTTGGCACAGGCCTCACACCGCTACATCTTTCTGATGATGGAGAAGGTGGAACCTTTCACTTCCATGACCCTCCGCCTCCATACACTGCTTACAAGTACCCAGATCTCGACCAGCCTGATGACCCGCCACCACCCTATGAGGCCTCCATCAACCCGGACAGCGTGTTCTATGACCCTGCAGGTGCTTCCCCTGGGGAGAGGGGGCAGCATATCATCATCCACCTAGCATGTGGGACCGCAGGACTGTAAACCTCCACTTTTTTCCAGCTTTCTGCTTTCTCTTTGGTTTTCCTCTGCACCATCAGTAGGCAGTCCTTCCCAGGGTTGCATATGTGAATGACTACCGGCAGTCACCCTGCCTCTTGTCTCTCTCCCATGAACACTTGTTAGTGAGCGGCCCTCGGGGCAGCCTCAGCAGGACTCTCTGCAGATCTGGAAAACAGGCACTGGTGGTCATGGAGACCAGGCTGGCCCAGAGCTATAGGTGCCGGGTCCACCCAGAGCCAGCCCCAGGCCTGTAAGACACGTGTGCACATCTGGTGAGCTGAAGAAACACTATAGTTTTGGTTTTTTTTTAAAGATTTATTTATTTGTGCATACAAGAACTGGGGTACAGGCCAGAGGTACATAGGGAGTGAGAGGATTCACCAGAGACAGAGTGGGGATCAGAACAGGCAGACTGACTGAAAACACTGCTGAGGGGAGCAGCAGGCGAGACAGCAGAGGTCTGCTGTGCCATGTGGGTTAGCTCCCTGGCTGGCTAGGGATCGACCTCATGCTGCAGTAGCTGCAGATAGCTTCATGGTGCTGAGACATAACCCCTTGCGCCACCAGGGAGGCCCCTGAAGAGACACTATTGTGACAGTGCCTCATGTTGGGAGGCATTTCTGAAGTGGGAAGAAAGTGCTGGTTCTGTGTCGTGAGGCCATGAGTCTGTTGCCTGCGATATTGTGGGAAATCATTTCTCCCCAAGCATGCAGCAAACAAGGGGTGCCAGCGCCTCCCCCATTGCTCCTGGTGTGCATTGTGGATGTCCCCACGTGCTCCACCACACACAAGCACACAGCTGGTCTCCATCGTGGGCAGTTCCACACAGGCCCACAGTGCCTTACTTGCTCACACACCGGAGTAGAGTGGGCATCCAGAGACTGTTTCTGTTTGTTTATTTGATCAGCTAATCCCTCTTGTGTCACCTGCAAGGCTGAAAAGACTTCGGTTTAACCCCTGTCCTTGGAACACTGCTGTCAAAGGAGCCAGGATAGAAAGAGCTTCCTGCAAAGGATGCCATTAGGGGGCGGGGGGTTGCAGGTCCAACTCAATGGACTAGGCTGCAGGGGAGCAAATGTTTCCTAGGGCAGGCCAGCAGAATGCTGAAGCTAGGGTCCTGGGGCCTGGGGTCCCGTGCCCTGAGCTTTCAGAGAAAAGCTCCTCTGTGGTAATGAGGAGCGGGCATGCTGATATCAGTGAACTTCCAGAAAGCCTTCCTCACACCCAAGCTCTCTGCAGACACCTACATGCTTTGGGGAGATGCCTATGCTAGTTCTGTCTCCTGCTTCATCCCCATATTCCAGCTGGGGCCCTTGGCCAGGCTCCTGCTCCAGGGGCCATGCACACTCTTGTCACCTGCCTACCCCAGCCTGGAATCTCCCTAATACCACATCAGGCCTGCTTTGACCCCCACTAAGTCTAAGAGGGTTTCTCCCCATCTTCTTGATTCTGGCGACCTTGTCAAAGCATGTCCCACCACACACTGTGCTTTGCTCACAACTGCCCCCCACATACATACAGCAGCAGTGGGACCATTCAGGTAGGAGTGTTTCCCACTTACATCCAGCCCACCCTCTTCCCCCAAACAGGACCCCCTACCCTGCTGACACCCCTCTGTCTCCTCCTGCAGATGATGATGCCTTTGAGCCAGCAGAGGCCAGCCCACCAGCTACAGGGGATGGTGGAGGTGAAGATGCATTGCCCCAGCACCTGGAGCAGTCTCTGCCCCCAGGGACATCTCTGGCAGACCTGGAAGACTCGACTGACAGCAGCAGCGCCCTGCTTGTACCCCCTGACCCAACCCAGAGTGGGAACACGCCAGCCACAGAGGTGCTGCCAGGGGGCAGCCGCCATAGCCGCAATCCCCTCAACACCATGGTATAAAGATGGCCTGGCCTGCAGCCCCCTGGGTGGGGAGCACCTGTCTGCTGTTTACAAGACACTGATTCCACACGAGAGACTTGAGGGCCCCTGAAAGAGCCTGGACCCAGCTGCATTGCTGCCCTCCCACCCACAGTGGTAACAGTACACCTGCTTGTCTCCCAAGCGAGTGAACACCTGCACGAAGTCTCCTTGAGGGCTTCAAAAACATACAGAGCTTGGGTCACACTGTCTTTTACTTTTTAAATGGCAGAGTGACTAAGTTTATTCAGACCACACGTTTCAAAAGTAGGGAACAAAGGAGGCACTGTGGGCACAGGCAGGGGCTTTGGTGGGCTGCTCACTGAAGTACACCCTCCGGAAGGGCCTGCTGACCAGTCACTGAGCCCAGGGCTACTGGAGTGCGGGCTGCCGTGGGGTGCTTCACTGGCCCCTGCACAGGAGGGCTGCTGCCAGTGCTGGATTGTGTGTGCACTGTCAGTATTTTCTGGGCCATGGGTCTCTTCCCGTGGCTGCTCTGGGGATGGCCCCCACAGGTCCAGCTGTGAACATTCAGGGTGACCCTTCCTGGACTGGGGGCTGTGGCTGTGGTACCAGACATCCAGCTCTGATGCAGGTCAGAAGGAGGTTGAACTCTATACTCCATCTTTCCAGCTGGACTCTGCAAAGCCCAGTTCTGTGCTAGGAGACCTGGCCCCACCCCATCCACTTTCTCCCCAGCATTGCTGTGCATGGCTCCCCCAGAGACAACTGGAGTTGGGCTGGGGCCCTTGGCCAGGCATGCGTGTCCTGGCCCTGGACTGTCTGCTGGGGCTCTGGGGACTGTGTTGTCTCCTGTCTGCTACACTCTACAGCCCACCTCCTGTTGAGCTTGCCCTGGGCCTGGCCTGCCCCCTCCCCACTTTGTGCCATAAGGATTGTTTCTTGGGGGGGGGGAGGGGTAGCTGAAATTATCCTCCTGGGCTGTGTCCATCCCCTGAAAGTCCACTTCTTGCACACCACCGCCACCGTTGGAGCCACTTGCTGGAGGCCGCATGCTCCTTCCTGTCCTCCCCAGCAGCTTGGGGGTGCTGGATATCCTGCCCCGGGGCCTTTTGATTGAGGGACCCTGTTGCCTGCTCCTGGGCAGAGGTCTTATCTCCTGACACAGGGCTTTTAGCATTTCTGAGGTTTGGAGATTACGCAGGTTCTGTGCGATTTTTAGCACATTCGTATCTTTTCTACGTTGAATGTCTGCATCTTTTGTGTGTCTGTGTTTGTATGTATGTGTCCAGTGTTTGCAGGTGATGGTGGTGCACAGGAACTTGGATGCAGGAACTCGGCTATGGGGCTCCACTGTCCTGGGTCAGCTATGGCACTAAGGCGAGGCCAGGTCTGTGCTTCTGCAGAGCCCAGTGGCTTTTCCAGACCAGATGCAGTGAGGGGAGAGCTGACTTGACATGGGTGTTCTGTGCTGCTCTGTGGTAACAGAGCTCATTCAGTTCTAAGTGAGTTCTCACATTCTGGTTGGAAACCCATTTTGTTCTTCCGGTATGGAGTAAGATTCTTGAATTGCCCCAGCAGACGTGACTTTCATCCCCAAAACTGGCCGGAGGTGAGTTTTGTCATTTAACTGCCTCTGGGCCTAATAATCATGGGAGCCAGAGTGCTATGGGGCTGCCCATGCCTAGCAGGCCACACACTCTTTGCTGAAGTGACACTCCTTTAAAAATGGCATCCTGGGCATGTGTGCTCCGTGTTGGCTACTGAAAACAAAGTGGGAGGCATGTTGAGCCTCCAGGGTGCTGGGTGCAGGGCAGCTAAGTTCTGAAGCAGCCACTAGAGGCTTTGTTGGTGCCAGGGCAGGGTCCCAAGTGTGCCTGCTTTGGAGTATCCACCCCGGGGGAGCTTCAGCGGGGTCTGTCCCTGATAGTCCAGGGTCCGTCCTAGCTCCCTTTCCTCTGCCCCAGGCTTCAGAACTGTGAGTACAGGACAGGGCAGCTGGCACCAAATGTGTGGGATGGGGGTTGACTTCCTTGGGGACTGAAGGACTGCAGGGACAGTGAGGTGTGTGGAAGGCACTGAAGGAGGCATGACCTGCAGCAGGCAGAGGATGGGGCTGCTTCTGGAGACTGGGTGTCTGTCCAGGGCCTCTCAGCTGACTCCCTTGGGCTGCGCAGAAGTGCTGTGTACCGCACCGCTCCACACCCTCACTTGCTGCTTGGGACCTGAGCTCTGCTGGAGGGTGATTGTGACAGGAAAACTGGAGAGACTCTAGCTGTCCTCAGCCTCCAGTCCAGACACCCTCTTTGTAAGATCTGATTGTGCTCCACGGTCTGATGAGAATCCAGAGGCCAGCCCTGGCTGAGCCTTGTGCCCTTGTGAGAGACTGGGCCCTGCGCACTCCATGCACACTAGGCCCCGGACCTGCCTGGGGGGCGGGGGGAGTAAATACTGTGCATTGTCTCAATGCCTGTTTGTTACGTTTTCACTAAGGGTTTTTAGTTTGGGTTTATTTTTGGTTGGGTTGGCACTAATCTTTTTCTTAAGATGCTGTGAGAACCATTTCATCCAAATGCCAAATAAACTTGTGTTCTGGAAGAGGTGTGCAGATTCCTTGGTGTGACCAAAGCAGGAGTGGGAGGCTCCAGCCAAGTTGGGGCCAGGTCACAAATGGGTGGACTGAGTAGTGGTACCATCCATCTGTGGAAGCCAGAGGCAGCTGAGGGGCTCTGAGAAAAGTCCCCTATTCTCCAGCAGTTGTCCTTCCCAGTCTCCCACTTTGTGATGCTGAAGGATTCAGCCTTGGGTGGGCCTCAGCTTTGCCTTCTTAACCCATCCTCCTGGCCAGTGTGCTCCACCGCCAGATCACCAAGGACTGTGGCTAGGAAAGGAATTAGTGAGTCCCTTGGCAGGACTAGGAACTTTAAGGAGGTGGCCCCTCATCTCTAAACACATCTGCTGAACAGTGGTGCCGGTTGCCTTGAGTGAGTTCAGCACCAGGGACAGTGCTCCACAGGTTAGAGGCTGTCTCCCTCAAGGTTGAAAGAGCCTTGGCACTCACTTGCGATTTAAGTAAAGCTGATACAGATGTACCCGTATTGCAGTTTCCAAAACCTGCCTGCCCAGTTGTGCTTACTTAAAGTGTGTGGATACAGAGTCCTTTCCAGACAGAGTACTTTTTCTCCTGGCCACTCTTAAGGGGTGGAGAAGCAGAGCACATGGACTCAGACCACAGCCTAAAGTCTGCTGCTGTGAAGAGGGGTGGCCTAGGGCAGGGCTCCTCTCACACTGGCTGGGTGGTGGGAGGCACAAATAGGAGGGAGGCTATGATCTTGAAGGCCCAAGACCCACCTTCACTGAGCCTTCCCCACTGCAGTCTACAAATCAAGGACACTAGAATCCAGGGTGCCTTCCCTCTTGAACGTCCATCCTTGCAGGTGGCTTCACAGCCCTTCCTGGGCCCCAGCCTTTGTTTCATAGTCTCAAGTCATAAAACCGGCCCCTAGGCTTATTTGAGGGTATCTGTAAAGCGTCACACTTAGGTAAATGCTGGTGGTTGTTGCAGCCACAGCCACATTGCGGCCCTGGGTTTGTGATCTAGAGTTGGCAACTCCACCTTCCCTGTTCCAGACCTTTACTGGGCACTGCCCCCTAGTGGTGGCCAGCCCTAGAGCCCACAGGTCCTGGGTTCTTAGCCCTGCCCAGCCCTCACTAAGAGGTAAACAGCAGCCTTGCTGGCCACCTTGCCCACCACCCTTTCCACTCCTCCCCAGCTGCAGCCACTGCTGCACCATGTTTCTCGAGGCTGGCACTCGCCTTCGCTGTGCCGCTCGTGACGTGTGGCCCCAAAGAGTAAGCACCAAGACTGCCCATCTGAGCTCAAACCCACCCTCTCTGGCCATTCCCCCTTAAGTCCTGCCACTGAGGGTTTCTGTGGGGGAGGAGATACTGGGGTTATAGCTATAGGGGAGAGGGATCTGTGCTGGACTCAGCCCACTGCCCACTATCCTCAGGCGCTTACTGCTGCTACTTGGCCAGACTCAAAGTGAGGTGAGGACAATGTCAGGGTGCATGGACTCAGTGTGTTTCCCATGGTCACCAGACAGTGCTGCAAGTGTGCCCAGAAGGAGGTCTACACACCATGCTTCTCTGCAGAGGAGGCACAGAATGGGCTGCAGTGATGGGTACTAGGCAGCACACATGTGACTGCCCTCTAAGGCATGTCAGGATCCATGACTACTGTGACCTCCAGTCCTGCTATGTGTACCAACCTGCTTGAATCAGGCTGGGCCTCTAAGCCTGTCAGTGTAGCTGGCCCATGTGTGAGCAGGTCCTAGAGGTCCCCAGCTGGGTGGGTAACTGCCAGGGAACAGATCCTTCCACCCTACTTCCCTCTTGGGCGGTCTGCAGGTGACTATGTCAGAGTGTGACCTGTGTGGTACCTGCCTTTGTGATAGTGTTGCAAGCATTGTGACCAGGCCAGGTTGGGGAGGGAGAGCATTGCCAGTGGTGATCTGTCCAGGTGTTGGGGCGGGGGGTAGGGGGTAGGATTTTCTGAGTCTGGGCTCTTCTCTGACTATGTGTGAGAGGGAGGGGCCCCCTTCCTCTCTGTATCCTCAAGTCCACCCTACAGATCCCAGACTCACCTACTGGAAGGAGATGGCCCTTGCCTGTGGGGTTTCAGCCCAGACCCATATCAACACCCACCTTTCCCTGGTCCAGTGGCACCCTGCTGTGGACACCTCCTCCCAGGCTATGACTCAGCACCTCCAGGTCCATGGGCCCTGGAGAATGATGGCTCTAAGGGTCAGTAATCTGGAGTCAGGACTCCCCACAGATAGGGACAGTTACCCCCTGAAGGAGGTAGGAACACACACAGGGTTTAGAGCCTCCCACTGGAGATGAGATGACATACAGGGGTCAACATACAGGACTCACTCAGGGGGTCAGGAACCTCCACAATGTCATTGACCCTCACGGTGGGTTAAGAACTTCTACATAAGGATCAGACCCATGTACGAATCAAAATCTCCCCAAGTGACTCAACACAGTGATCAAGATACCCGCAACAGGGGCCAGGAATCCTATTAATGGCCTCCATCACCCCAGAGTTGGCCAGAAATCAACTATCTCACATCAGCAGGACCCGCAGAGTAGTCATAACCCCCACAGTCACACAGGGGTGGCAGTCAGAACTCAGCAGCACGCCCTGTGGCCTAACAGCAAGAGGTGGGTGGATGGGGGAGATCAAGGGTGTCATGCTCTCACCTTAAGTGCTGCCCCTACAAGGACACTGGCCCACAGAGCTACTTAGAGACATGGGACACAGGGCTGCCCCTGCCTACTGGGCACTGCAGCTATACTTGCATCGGGGAGGATCCGGGGAAGAGGCTTAGGGCACAACACAGCTGGCACAACCACCCCACGGAGGTGGGCTCTGGTGTGGGGTAGAGGGGAATGCCCCATGAAGGCTAGGGGCAAGGGAGCTGGACACCTCCCTAAGTCTATGCCTCCCCACAGACATGTGGTCCACATGACATGTCCCAGGGCCTGGGGGGGTACACAAGGTCACCCTGGTGGACTGACAGTGCTGGCCACGCTGTTGACAGGAGTGCCACATGCCACAGCCTCTGCAGCACAAGTTCGATCCCCTGGCCGGCCAGGGAGCAACCCACATGGTGTAGCAGACCGCTCCTGCCTCGCCCACTGCTCCTCTCAGCAGTGTACTTTGGCCAATCTGCCTGTTCTTTTCCCTACTCTGTCTCTGGTGAATCCTTTCACCCCCCACACCTCTGGCCTGTACCCCAGCTCTTGTATGCATAAATAAAATAAATCTTTTTTTTAAAAAAAAAGTGCCACATGACTCCTGTCAGTGAGAGGGAGGAGCTATGTGACTCCTGCCTCCCAGAAACAGCTCCGAGGAGGTCTGCACAATGATCAGGGTGGTCTGGGGAGTCCCAGGGGGTGTGTGGGGGAAGGAACTGGGGATTTACAAGGTTTATAGAATTTAAATAGTTCTGTGAGAAGATTGGGCCAGTAGGACGTCATTGATCTGCAGGTAACTGTGGGTGACCCTACCCCAACAGGTCTCCCAGATTCCCCCACTGGGAGCCTACTCTCCCCAGGACCCTTCTTAGAGTCCTCCCCTTTGAAGACTCCCCTGCTCAGAGCCCTTCTCACTTGGATCCCCTCCCAGAAGTGAACTCAGACTTCTCCACCCTTATGTTGGAACTGAAGAACCCAGTGAGGAGCCCCTGTGTGGCCCCCCAGCTGGGGTGTATTGGGCCACAAAGAAGTCAGAACCAATTCTGTCTCCCTGCCACTGCCCAGCAGTTTCTTTGAATCTGGCTTACAACTTCCTTCTGGCCTCACTGCTGCCTGGCATGCTGGGCCTTGCCTACTACTACTACTGCTCATCCGGGTCCCTGGTTATGCCCACTGAGAACCTATGGTGCTCTGGACAGTCTTCATGGATGTGCTAACAATTGGGCAGGCATGTGAGGCTGCCAGCCCTTCCCTGAGTGCTGCTGCCCTCCTCCCTCCTTCCCCACCATCCTCTTATCTTCAGGTTGCCCCACCTGGTTTGCCCCTGCCCCCCCACCACTCACAGAGAACTGCCCAAAGCAGCCCATCTCTGGGCACATCTTGGCCTCTCCTGGTGCTTCCATCCATATGGCAGGCCTGTCCCCCACCCCCATCTTGCCCTGTTAGCCCGATGGGCTCTGGCAGGGTGCCCAGGACCCAGATGAGACATCATTTCACAAAATAAATGATGCAGAGAGACGCTGGTCTTTTATGGTTGGGGGTTGGGCATGGGGGAGTGGGTGTGACTGGGCGCACTGCCTCTCCCACAGAAGCAAGTATGAGGACTCAGTGGGTGTGGCCACACAACCCAGAGGTCCTAAGTCCCTTCCCCCACCTCACCACAGCCAGCCTCAGACCCCCATCCAGAGTCCCTGGACTTCCAGCAGATCACTCTCAGAGGGCAGGGTGCCCTCCCAGGCTACATTTCTGTCTGAAGTCCCCTGGTTGGATGGAAGGAAAAAGCTAGCAAGCCTTAGAAATACCACCTACTAAAGTCTAAGTTTGTACATTTTATTTAAAAATAAGCTGACCCAAGGAAAGGTGTGTGATTAAATGATGATACAGGTACTTTCCCCAAGGCCAGGCAGAGAGAAGCTGCTGGTTCCAGGCTTTGCTACATGCTGCACTGGTTGGGTGTGTCTTGGTGAGAGGGTCAGCTGGTGAAGGGGCTGTCTAGGTAACACTCCGGGAAGTGAGACTATGGCATCTGAGGGTAGGGAGACACTTTGTGGAGACACTCATGTCCAGGTGACTGCCTGTGGTGAGGCTAAGTTAAGGTGTAAGTGTCCTTTGGTGTCACTATTCAAAGCAAAACTTAAGAGCCCAAGGAACACTGAAGAGATGTGCTGTCACGCAGTCCTCTCCAGTGAGCGGGTCACTGTGGGGTGAAGCTGGCCGGGGTCTGGCTGCCGTCCTGAGTGATGCTGTGTCCAGATGACAATGTCCCAGCAGCTCGGTTTCCTGGTGTCTGTTGCTTGGTGCGTAGGGCTCACCCTCTACTCCAGTGCATGTAGGCCCTGCCTTCTCCCCAAGACTCTTAAAGAAAAAGAACCAACCAACCCTGCATCCCCTCCCGCGAGGCTGTGGATTCCTGCGGTGGCAGGCCCTTGGGCTCTCCCTGCTGCCCTGCCGAGCTGACTTGCCTGTGGCTCAGAGTCACACCCAGCTCTAAGGCCAGAAGGGACGCCCCCTCTCCTGCAGCCCAGACCCAGTGTCCAGCGGTGATCGCCGAGCCTCTCGGTCAGCCACGCTCCCTCAGCCTCTGCCCATCCCGCGCCTCACACCGCAATCCCGGAGCACTCACTGGCGGTGTCGAGATTCGCTCCAAGCCGCTCCACGAGAGGGGAGGGTCTGTCCACTCGCCCAGCCGCGGCGCCTCCAGAATCTGGCCTCTGAGCAGCCCGGCTCCGTCTCCTTCAATCCCCGCCGCCCTGCAGGGCCCCGGACGGCACCGGCGTCTTCTTGAAGTTCTTCCGGCCCGGGGCCCGGTTCGCGCTTCCGTCTGCTGGGCCGTTCGGGGCGTCGTCGGGAGGCCCGGACACCGCGGTCAGGGCGTTCACGGTGCCGAGCGCCCGCAGCAGGGCCTGGCCGCGGGGCGCGGCGCGGAGAGGGGCGCGGGGCTCGCGGCGGGCGGGCAGCGGCGGGGGCGGGGCCGGCAGCAGAGCGCGCAGGGCTTCCAGCTCAGCCCGGAGCTCCGCGCGCAGCGCCTCGAGCCCCGCGCCCAGCTCGGCGCGCACAGCCGCCAGGCCCTCCTGCAGCCGCCGCTCGCTCACCTCCAAGACGCCCGCGGGGTAGGTGGCCCCGCCGCGCGGCTCCCCGCACACCGAGCACACGGACCCGCTGCTGCGCGCGGCGGCCCGCTCTCCCGGCCCCGCCTCGCCGGCCCCGGCCCCGGCCGCCGCGCGCTCCACCAGCCGCAGCAGCCGGGGCCCGTCCGCGCGCGCCGCCGCCTCGGCCCGGAGCTGCCCCCGCAGGCGAGCCAGGCGGCCCGGGGCACGGACTTCTTCAGAGACCGGCCCGTTGGGCTGCGGCCCGTGGTCCCGCCCCCGCGCCCCCGCGCGCCGCAGAGCCTCGCTGGCACCGTACGCGCTGCGCGCCTGGACCCACGAGCGCCCGGGAGCCGCCGCCATTTGCACCGGGACCGGCACTGCCGCAGCCACCCGCGCGCCACCTGGCCCGGAGCCCCAGGCCGCAGCCTAGCGACCGGTGGGACCCGGGGGACCAGCCGTGGAGAGGGCACCCGGGACGGCTGTGGGAACGAGGGAGGCCTGGGGGATCGAGCCTGGGGCCCGAGGAACCCTGGCAAGGCTGCTCGGGGAGATGCAGCCCCCAGGGCACTCCAAGTGGTGAGGCCAGCAGGCCTGAATGTTTAAGACTTGCCCGCTGGGACCACTCTGTCTGGGGGTTGCAACATGGAGTTGAACTGGCTTCTAAGCAGAGGTGACAGGGTGTGTGGAGCGAAACCCAGGCCCCGGCCGGGTCAGGAACTGAATTCACATCCTGTATTCCCTACCACTACCTGTAAAAGTCAGATGGCAGGTGACATGGAGCCTGCAGCATCCTCACTGGCTCAGACTCTCCTTCAGAGGCGCAGTCCAGGACATGCCTCACAGCTGCAGGAATCCTGGTCATGGGCACTTGCACTCCCGCTGCCTCCCGGATCTTGGTTGCTCTCCACTGTGCACCTAACCTCAGGAGGCCGTGGGGGGCTCGCAGCGCTCACAGTGTGTCCCCACGTTTTCTTTAGCTTCCTCTAGCTAACGACCTTCTTCACCCCGCTGGGCTGTGGCATAGGCTATTTCTCCTTCTAGGATGACCCCATCACCCCCCCCAATTGCCTGATACCTCCCTCTTATCCTGCTTAGTAGAGCAGCCTTCCTTGACCACCCACCCCCAGCAGGTAACTCAGACCTCCCGCAATACACGGCCATCCTCACAGTGATATTGAGTGGTTCTATGTTCTCTGTCCACCAGAATCCATGGTAGGGTCCCCGAGACTGGGTCCCCAACATGCCTAATGTTGGGTGGAGGTGATGGGCGAATGAATCTAGGCCCAGAGTCTGGGTGGAGCTGCCTTCCCCCTACCCCCAACGAATTCACCCAGTCCACCTCCTCAGCTCTCATCACCATCCCTGCTGGATTTTTTTGTCCCAGGCACCTTCTCACCTTCTGTGGGAGCCTCTTGCCACTGTATCCCCTTCTTTCTCACCCAGGTGCCCTCATGCTGCCCATGCTGGTCACAGGAACCTGGGCAGTATACTGTGGGCCCCTCTGGAGGGCTGTGTCCCCCCATCCAGCATGTTGTTCTCATTGTACCCCAGGGGCTAGTTAGGACTCTGGGTGCCCTGGGGCCTCCCCAATAAATTGTGGGAAGGGAGGGCCTGACATGGATCCAGGCTGGTAAGACAACCGCTGGGACCTGTGTCCCCTGGGCTTGCGGGGGCCTAGTGGTCCATGTAGCTCTGTGTGAGAGAGCAAGCTATGTCTCTGGCAGCCCTGGCCTCAGGCCACTGTAAAGAAACCTGAGCCCCACATTTATCCATTCACTCATTTGTTTGCTGTTGCCTGGTGCTCTGGAAGTTGGGGGGCAGTAAGAATTTGGCATGCTGTCAACCCCTCAGACTCCCCCATGCCTGCTGAGTCACCCGCCCCACTGGAACTTCTAGCATCTGGCTCTGCTGATCCCTAGAGCCTCGTTAACCAACCCCCCTCCCCAATAATTAAAATACTGCTGACAAAAGAGCCCTGGCTCCCTCCCCAGGACTGCTGGAGCAAGGCGTTGCAACCCAGGACTCAGCTCTCTCTCAACCTCCCCAGTGAGATAAGGGAAGCCCTTAAGATGCAAGAGGGGAGTTAAGAGGGGCCGGAGAGGGTGCAGACCATGGGTATGGATGTGAGCTCCAGGACGGTGATACAGAGGTGGATGGAGAGAGGCTGCACTGCATGTTACACTGTCTCTCACCAGGTTGGTGGAGGAGCTGCCATACAACAAAGCCTTTGCAGTGAGGGGTTCAGGGTCCTGCAGGGGCTGCAGATGTGGGGTCACAGCTCACTAGAGGAGCCCAAAGCCACCATAAAGCTGGATTGCACTGGAGCAAGCGTAGAGTAGGAAGGGAGCCCTGGGTGCCCTGAAAGGCCTGGAGAAGGGCAGCAGCTATGCTGGGGAAGGGCAGCAGGCAGGTGTGATCAGCACAACCCTGAGCCCTTGAGGCCAAGTGTGGTGGGGGCTGAGAAGTAGGTCCTGGTGACCTGGCTGAGCTTCATAGAGGGCAAGGCATAAGCTGGAGAATCGGAGAGAGCAGAGATGGCTGTAGTCCCTTCTGAAGGGACAGGGCAAGAAGCAGGGGCAGAGCTGCTGGAGGCAGGGGTGGGCTGCACACAGGCCTGAGCTCCTCATAGCCCAGGCTGCCCTGCAGTTCCCTGCACATAGGAGCTGAAAGGAGGCAGGGAAGGGGTTCTATGCCAGTGCTGGGGGGCGGCCAGCTGTGTCTGTAGGAAATCAAACTCTTGGGGCTGTCCTCGCCTAGCTCTGTGCATTCAGGCCAGCCCTCTCTCTGGGAGCAGGTTCAAGCAGGCCCGATGGGCCATTAGGCCTTGCTACTCCTTAGCTCATTGACAAGCACGCTCTTCACTGTTGCTGTTAAGCCCTGGCAACCACCTAAAGAGGTTTTAACTCCCAGAGCCTGGGGGCAGTGGAAGCAGTGGGAGAGTTCTTTAGGCAGGGCTAAGCTGGTTTTACCTGTCCTGGTAGCCTCAGAAGGGGGAGGGGGCAGGGAGGGGAACAGGGGATGAAACTCACTTCTCATCACCAGGGAGCATCCAGAGACAGATCCTCTGGATCCTGAGAGATTAGAGTGAGGGTCTTTTTCTTCTCCAGCACACCAAGTCCTGGTTTGCCTGGCTCCCCGTGAAGGTGTGTGTGGAGATGCGGTTGGAGGTCCCTGAAGCTGGCCTGGCAGTAGGTGGATTCTGTGGTGATGGAGCAGGACAGGCCTGAGCAGTACAAGCCTGAGCAGGGAGCTGGAGATGCCCTCTCTGCAGGCTACAGGGGCAGAGCTTCCTCCAGTGGGGAGTGGGGAGGAAGGTATGCCCTAAAAGACTTGCTTCCCCAGCCCCCTTAGTGGGTGGGCTGTTAGTCTTAGAGCTGGTCCTGGAGCAGAAGTGGGCTAATGGTCTAGGGTGGGGCAGCTTCTCTCCACTCTGGCCAAGGACCTCAGGCCTGCTGCAGTAGCTGACAGGTTGGTCCTCGGGAAGGCAAGGAAGTGGGCTTGGTTGGGGCCTGGAACCCACGGCCTGGGCTTTTGGGAAGGGAAAGGCTATGGTGTCTTGTGGGTCTCCAGTGGACATAAGCTGGCAGGTTTGATTTGGGTTATTGCTCAGGAAATGGTTCTGTTGGTTTGTCCTGCCTCCTGGCCCTCTGGCAACCTGTGATGCCCTGCCTGTTTCCTCACCTGTCAGAGCCCAGAATGTCTTTACTGGCCAGGAGATGTAAGTGTGGCACAGGCTAAGGGTGTGCCATGGCCAAGGGAGGCCTGACACCTGAAAGGCAGTCTGTCTACACTGGGAGACCCTGCCGCCTAGACCCCTCAACTGCTTGTAGCTCCTCATTGACAGGGACTAGAAAGGGAAGAGACTCACTCTAGTTCTTACTGCAAAGGCCTGGTCTCCCTGGGGGAGCTGGACTTAGGGCACAGCTTCCCCTGCACACTCCTTGCCTGCCAGGCCCTGCAAGAAAGCCCTGGCCTCCGGTGGTTCTGGCTACCCAGATAGCCCCTGGAGACCTTCCTGAGGCAGGTAACTCTGCAGGGGGCAGCTCATTATCCAGTAATGACCTTGCATGACCTCAGGAATGAGCTCATTACTTGGTGATGACCTTGTTTGTCTGGTCCTGGCATCAGCAGCCCTAGAATGCCTGGCCTGTGTGGTTCTGACCAGTCCAGGACTTAGTCCTCAGTTTCCCAACCTGAGAGAGACAGGGCATTAGGCCTGCCAGCATCTGTGTGTGTGCCCTGAGGACCCTGCCTTGGCTCCCAGTGACACAATCCTGGGGTTTTTGACTGTCTAGATTCACAACCTCAGGCCAGTAAGTCCTTTAACTGTTCTTGCCTCACTCTCTTACCCACAGATGGAACAAATGATGGTCCGTGAGAGGCAGAGTGGGGAAGCTGCCTTGAAGGTGCATGCCCTGCCCACGAAGCTGCCCCTTCTCCTACCAGCTGGACTTGGCGTCTCCATGTCAAGGCCATCCTCACGACCACTGGGGAGGGACCTCCTCCTGTTACTCTTGGTGAAGTTGGCTAGGAGGGGGGTCTTGGGCTGCACCGACTTTTGCCTCAAGATCCTCTCCACCTCCCTGTGGCCTAAGGTCACTTGTCTGTCCTCCTCTTCTCTGCTCTCAACAGCAGCACCATAACTGGCCACGCCCTCCCGGTGACCCCAGACTTGCACTTCTAGCCCAAAGCCTGCCCCCTGGACTCAGCTGCTGCACTCCCACCTGCCTCACTTCTCTGGGCCTGGGGTTTCGTCCTCACCTTCCCAGAGCAAACCTGTTAGTTTGATTAGGACCCCCTGCCCAATATCCTGCACAGGATCTTCATCTCTCTCCTGCAGCCCGGAGCCCTGTGCCCACCCTGGGGTGTGGACCTGCCCTCTCGTGGCACTCTTCCTCTGGCTCCACATGCCATTAGCTCCCCACCTCCGTATCTGTGTACTGCCTGCTCCCTCAGCCTCAGGCTAGTACATACCACTCCTAGGAGAACCTTACCTGAGCCCTGGAGCACATCTCCCTGCTGCCCCTGCATCTTTCTACCTGCACTCACGACGTGGAGTGGTGGGGGGCCCTGGTCTCTGCCCCCCTTTACACTTGACTTTCACGAGGGCAGCATGGTCCAGAAAAGTGCCTGGCCTTTGTAGGCACATTCTAAGTACTTAGCCACTGTCAGTGAGTGGTGTCTGCTTTGGCATGAGTTCACACCTGACTGGAGGGGGCTCACGATAGGCCCAGCTGGAGGTGCAGCTATGTCTCAGTGTCCCTGCTGAGGATGGCCTAAGGAGGGATGGGGTCCTCAACAGCCTGATCCCAGGGGTTCCATGCCATGCCAGCCCTCAACAGCTCCCTCCCCTCCCCTTC